AATCCAGTTCCTGTTTCAATTCAATCAAAAGGGGAGGGCAGAATCCAGTGTTTCCAACTGCCATCTCACAGGCCTTCCCCTTCATGTGGCCCCTCAATCTAAATGACTTGGGCTTACTACTAATGTGTTGTATCTTCCCCATTTACTGGTTCCCTCCTTGCTCTGTGACTGTTGGTACCACGGGCTTCCATGCACTTTCCTCTCTTATACTTAGACCATATTCGGCTCACCTAGTTTCACACCAGATTTGTTTACACTGTGTCTTAATGGAGATTCCACAAAATTGGCTTCTCCTTACCATGTACGTTGCCTTCTGTGTCTCTAAACAACCACATTGTGTTAGTCTCTCTCTTCAATCACTATTTTCATTCTGTTTCTTTTTTCAATTGATGCTTAATCCACTTTCTTTATCTTTTCATTCGATGCTCAGAGTTCCAGGATTATCATATCGATCTATATCACTCGGTTTTCTGGATCTTGGTTGTAGAGGGACTGGGTAGAGTACGTCACCAGGATGTCACCTTGTCTCTTCCTCCCATTCCACAGAATTTTCAATGGGTGATTTATCAGAGGAAGAGCACCAGGCCTTTACTTCAAAGGCACCTCTGGGTGGTCTCAAACCTCCAACCTTTTGGTTGGCAGCCAAGCATGTTAACCATCTGTACCACCCAGGGACTACATTAACTAGGGTTTTCCTTAGTTAAGTGACTTTAACCTCTGGCTCCAGATGGCAATGGTTACTTTATTTTAGATTCTGCCCTGACACTAAAGAGAGATGTTCTCCTTAGCTTCAAGGTGAGAAGATCTCAATAGTGAAGCCCCTTATTACCCCATTTGGACCCATAGACACTTGTGGGTAGTCTCTCCTTCTGTTCCCAGAAGCCAGATTTCTTGTCAGAGGCACCACTCACTCCCATGCACAACCCTGGCCTTGTACTCACCAATAACTATGCCAGATCTGAAGTCATCACTTCGTAGCCTCCCAGTTTCCTGACATAAGTATCCCTGCTCACCGTTCCACCCCCAGTAATTCTTCTGACCTGAGACCTCTCACTCAAGGGCCTTCATATTCTCACTTATAGTCATTCCTTCATGTCCTTTCATCTCTCCTTATCTAGCTTAGACACCAGGGGCCATTAGTTTAATGCTCCCATACAAATACTCTCAAGGCCCTCACACTTCCTCCCACAAACTCACCTAGTAGCCCCAAACCAACTCCTGGCTACTCAGAACCTGGAGCCAAATAGCTAAATGTTGCTGGCCGGAATGCATAAATGTGTGACTGGTATTATTTTTATGGGCTGTCATGATGCCACAGCAACTTAAAAAAAAAAAAAAATGAATAGATATTAATACTGCCTAAAAATTCTACCATATTAACTCTGGGCATTTGCTTTCCTCTCTCTAAAATTATTATTTCACACTTTGTGTTATCTTTCCTGCACGCCCTTACCCTTGGCCCCAACTCCTCCCTCATTGCTGATTCATTGGGAAGGCAGATGCAGCCAGTCTGAAAAACATGCACCTTCTTCCCAACCCACTTGCGTCAGGACTAAATCCCATGTCTCCTCTTCTGTTACAATGGATGAAAAATCCCTGCTTTTGTCAAAGACCAAGACTTTCTTCCATATGAGCACTGCTTTTTCTCCTTTCTGTTCTCCAGGCCTTTTCTCCTCTCTCATCTCCACTCTTTCTTGTTACTAATTTTTTATTCTTCCTTGATTGGGTCATTCCCCGAAGCACATCAATCTAATGCCACCTGACTTCAAATCATAAACGTAACTCTTTCTTTCTTTCTTTCTTTTTTTTAAATTGTGATTTGGGTGAAAGTTTACAGAGCAAATTCATTTTCCATACAACAGTTCATACACATTTTGTTTCATAACATTGACTGCACCATAATGTAACAGCTCTCTTCCCACTTCCTTGCTGTGGTTACCTTTTTCCTTGTCCTTCTTTCCTATGCATTCCAGCCCTCTGAATTATCTCCCTGTGCAAATACTGCCCTTCTGATCTTCCATGATTGATTGTTCTCAGGTGTGTACTTATCTGGTGTAAATGTTTACCTTACACACCTGTCTATTGTTTGGCTGGAAGCCATGGGAGTGAGTTCAATTCCAGCCTGAAGGGTGACTAGGGGCCATAGTCTCAGGGGTTTCACCAGTCTTTATCAGACCAGTAAGCCTGTTTTTTTTGTTTTTTTTTAAATTTTTTATGACTTTGAGTTTTGCTTCACATTGTTCTCCCACTCTGTCTAAGTCCTCCTGCACTCATCCCTTTCTGAGTGGCAGACAGGGGTAGCTGGGCATCATCTATTTCTTCTGGTCTCATGGTCATGTAGGCTGAAATTTGCATAGTCCCTTGGATTAATGGTTTCTCTGTGTCTTTGGTTTTCTTCATTCTTCTTTGCTCCAGACAAAGAGAGACCAGTTCTTGCATCTAGATGGTCACTTGCAAGCTTTTAAGACCCCAGTCGCTACTCGTCAAAGCAGAATGTAGAACAATGTTTTTGTTAGTATGTTATGCCAATTGAACTTGATGTTCCCTGCAATCATGGGCCCTAGCCCACAGGTCCAACAACTCACTCCCTCAGGGTGTTTGGCATCACAACTATTTCTTGACCCCCAACAGACCTCTAGCTCCTGCTATCCTCTTCTGATCCTTTTGAAAGAATTGTGCTTCCTCACTTCATGCCACCCTAATCTGGCCCTATCATTCCTATTGTGCACTTTTCTACTCTTCTTGTAGTTGACCTTGCAATAACCTCCATTACACTATATACCACAGCTTTCATCCTGGCCAAGCCCCACCCCACCCCTCTAGCTCTGTTTTCTAGGTCTATCTTTCTGGTTCCTACTCTAAATGTTAAATGCTGCTATGATTCTATCCTTGCTTGGCAACCTCATTCAATTCCATGGTTTAAAATCCTTCCAATAGCAATACAACCTGGAAATCTTTTGTCTACTCATGGTATTATGCAGACTTCATGGCCTTGGTTAAAGAAGTTTCTTTCTTTCTCTCTTTACACCCTCTTTGCCATGAAAAAGTGCAAAATTGGTCAGGGAAAGTGAAGCAAAATCCAACTCACTTCCATGTGGCTTTAAAAGTCTCTTGCTGAGCTCAGGGGTAAGTGCCAATGACATGAACAAAACAATAGCTCTCTAGATGTAGTCATTGCTGCGACCACTACAAAGGCTTCAAACCCTGCAGAAAGCCCTCTCCCTACACTCCACCTATGGCAAAGCTTGGTTCCCAATGGAGAGGGCAGGAAGAACTCAGAACAAGGCATCTGGACCCTGGCTTGGATATGACTCTGCTTTTCTGATCTCTAGCCATCTACTTCTAAAGGACCTCAAACTGGGAAATTCTGGCACCCACTCAGAAGCCTCAAGGGGTCATAATTAATTTCTTCATTTATCATAAAATGTATCCTGTGTTTAACAATGATGATGATGATGATGATGACAGTTATGTTTAGAAGTGTTTCCCTGTATTCTATGCCAGCTACTTTATTAATATTATTCCCCTTTGCCCTCTGAGTGATCATATTTATTTCCCCCATTTTATAGACCAGAAAACAGGAGATGAGCTCAACCAAGGCCACTCAGCCAGGGGAGGGATCTGAGCAGGTCTATCCCCAAAGTCTCTGCTCTTAATCCCTTCAGGGAAGCAGCAAACTGGGGAAACATTTCCAATGATCAGCTTCTAGGTTGTTTTGCTTCAATCAGGAGGTTCAAATGTGGTGAAGTCTGGGCCTAGCTTCCTAGAAGTAGCAGTGACCCCTCACGTTCCTTTCTCCTGTTACCTCTTTTAGGACAAAGAACAACTCTGACTGGCCTTGACATTCGAGACATGCTGCCTGTGAACCTCAACAGTTACTACACCTACTGGGGTTCACTCACCACTCCTCCCTGTACTGAGAACGTCCTCTGGTTTCTGCTGGCAGAGCCTGTTAGGCTTTCCAGGACACAGGTAATGCAGGGCGTTGCTCTGTCAAAGTCTTTCCTTTGGACCATCTGGTTAATAAGAGTGTTCCCTGTAATCTCAACCTGGTTATCAATACCTGGGGCTCCTTCAGCATTTGCCATCCACAAGGATACTTGTGTCTCACCTACATCGCCATGGAGTGGTCTTACTAGTGTTAGGCAGAGATAGGAAAACTGAGGCATCAAGGAATCCAAGGAGCTTAAGAGCTGATGCAAGATCCATGACTGTAGCCTGATCTAAGTCATAGGAAAAGAGTTACATAGAAAACGCAAATATTTATTGAGTGCTGCTCTTGCCAGGCACTGTTTTAGAATTTTGATAGGATACAAAATTCCCTTCCTCATAGAGCTGACATTCTAATTTCTTAAATATCACATTTAAATATCAGCATAACATCACATTTAGCTCTTTACTGTGCTAAAATGTCTGTAGCCCTTTGAGGAGAAGAGCTGTGTCAGTCATCTTCTGTCCCCTAGCATAGCACTGGCACATAGTAAATGTTGGTTGAATTGAATAAAGGGACAAATGTTACTGAGCTTGCAAAGCAAAAGCAGCATTTCCTTCTGGGTGATGTTCTTTAGGAACAAGTATTTGGTTCTTATTCTTAAACTTTCCATTTTCCTACTCCAGAAAAGAGGTAGAAAAGACCCATATGCAAGGACACACACACACACACACACACGTTGCTAGCCAGAGGAGTCTGAACTGTATCTGCACACAATCTTTTACTGTAGACATTATGTTTGATTGTATGAAACACCATGTACTATTTACTCTCTCTTGGCAATTACCTCGAAAGAAGGAAATTGTTTTAATATAATTTAAGACTCTCAATTAGGTTCACACACACAAATACACACAAACACTGAGCAAAACTGACTGAATACTTACTAAGGTGTCAGGCATCATCTCATTTAATTCTGATAGAAAACTCTGGGGGAGCTCTGGTAGCATAGTGGCTAAGACACTTGCCTGCTAACCAGATGGCTGGCGGTTCAAACCCACCAGCCACTCCTCGGAAGGAAGGTTGGGCAATCCTACTTCCGTAGTGATACTGCCTCGGAAACCCAAGGAGGGGTCGCTATGAGTCGGGTTTGACTCGATGGCACATAACAACAACAACAACAAGAAAACTCTGGAGTGGTGTGCTCCCCCACCCCCACCCCCACCAATTCACAGAGACAATCACAAGATAGAATAGCAATGACTGAAAATAAATGTATGCCAAATGGATGTAAACATACAGAGATCAAGGATGATAATAGCAACAAAAACTGTTAAATAGGATGAAGTAATATTTTATTTTCTATCAAGAAGTTAAAACAATCGTGTATATTTACATATAAAAGCAATTTGTCAGAGTAAGGAAACACAAAAAAATAATTGAGAATAGAAATGATTTGAACAACACAATTAACTAGCACATGTAGAAGTCTATAACCAAAAGAACATACCTATGTGCCATAAGTATCTGTGCAATGGGTAAAAAAAAAAAACCAAACAACAACAACAACAAAAAACCAATTCTATCGGAAAATTGCAATAAATTCCAAAAAAAAAAAAGTCCAGAAATTCTATCAGCTACACTTTCATTATAATGCAAAATAACTGGAAATCGACATCAAAAGTATAATAACAGCAATAACCTATGTGAGAATTCAAAGACATTTTCTTCAATGGCTCTTCGACGAAAAGGAGCTCACAGCTGAAATTAAAGCAATACAAAATTCTGCTAGTACGGCAGACTAGCATCTCCTGACAGATGCTATTCTGGTTTCAAAAAACAAGAACAACCCCAAAAAAAGTAAACAAAGTTTTATTAGGATATGCTTTTAAAATGTATCAGTCAACTCATAAATTAATGAGTATTCAGATGCAAAATCTAAATGAAGTTGGGATCCCACAGAAATAAGCAGAGCCCTGAACTGAAGCTGGCTCTCATCTGAGGGCATTTGCTGAACCTGGTGAAATTATTATTTGGTTTTCATAGACTTGCAAGTCATGGAACACTGGAGTCAAAGTCCAAAGAGCTGGCAGAACAGCGCAGAAGTATTACTTAAAAATATTATCTGACAATCTCCTAAAAGTATTGAAAGATACCAAACCATATATTCAGGAAGCCCATGAGTCCAGATAAATAAAAAGACACCCACAACTAAATACATCACAGTGAAACCACACAACACCAAAGACAAAGAGAAAACTTAAAAATCAACCAGAGAGAAAAGACAGATTACCACAAAAGAAGACAATTAGACTGAGAGTTGATTCAGCATAGTAATAATGAAAGTCAGAAGGCAGTGAAGCATAGGTTCAAAGTGCTGAGAGAAAGAAATAGCTAGCCTAGAATTGTATATGCAGGAAAAAGTTCTGCCAAGAATGTAGACAAAATACAGATATTTTCAGAACAAAAATTAAGCTTGCCACTGTATATATTTCTGATTTTTACTTCTTTCTCTCCCTTCTACTATTGACTAAATACTCATAAGGAAAAAATTAAAAGAAATTGCTTATAATACTTGTTGGAAGAATGAATGGAGGGATTATTTTAGAAAAATACTTCTGAGCTTGAGATCTTCTCACAACTACTTTATCAGGGCTTGCTAACTTTTAAATTACACAGTGCCTGCTCTCTTCTATAATTCATTTCATGCTACCTGCAGATTTGGAAGCTAGAGAACTCCTTGTTGGATCACCAGAACAAGACCCTCCACAATGATTATCGCAGGACCCAACCCTTGAACAACAGGGTGGTAGAAGCTAACTTCAATTATTTTTCTAATCCATGTGAGTGAACTCAAATCTTATCTATTGTTTTGCAATTTGTTGGCTCCTCGCTTTCCTTCCTTCTCTGGGTGGATCCATTTCTTCTGGCAATGGTAAGGAAAGGAGAGCCATTTGAGCAGCAGGACGCCGATTGCACAGCACTTGAGACCAATGAAGATGTAACACATTTTTCCAGTTTAGGCAGTGAGACCAGTGAATAGAACAGAAAAGACAGTGGGGAGAGGCAATTCCATGATTTATCATCTACAAGGTCTTGGCCAGAGGTAGTTGGAGAAGCAAGATGTCGGCAGCATCTGGAAGTTGTCTTAATAGTGTAGACTCAGGTTAACCTTGTTAAACCCAATGCAAATTAGGTTTCTCACATCTTTACCTTGGTCTATATTACAAACAGACATTCAATTCCTTCTAGACATTCCCTAAAAGTGGGGTTAACTAGACCATATATTGTTTACTGTATTTGCTTGGGTGTCAAGCCCCAGACACCAGGCTACTGGAAGTAGGCAAGAGAAGTACAGACTCTGCTGGACCTTCTGCTCCCTAGGGTCAGCTTTCAGCTGAGTTCTGGCTTACCTGATTTCTGTGGCTGCAAGAAAGTAAATATTCTGCAGTCTTCTCATCCTTATTTTGTCTGTTTCTCCATAAAGTTACGAATTGCACAATCCCCTGAATGCATCGTCTTGACAATATAAGCTATTCCTGATACTTTTACATCCTCTAATAAAATAGAATATATTGCCAATCAATATTACCCACTTATTCTTACCCCATATTTATATGCATCTTTCAAAACATTAAAATCTAGCCCCCAGAGGCCTATTCATGATAGTCTCCCCATCTCTCCTCCCTGGTTTATCGTTTTCTCTTATTTCAGTTTGCTCTTCCAATATAATACTAATAGAGAAAAAAATTACACCAGCTATAGTTATAATTTTCCCATACTATGTTATATAAAATATTAATACGAACAATCCCTTTTTCTAAAGGGTGATATTGTCGTGAACAGGTCCAATTGCTAGAAGCCAAAGAGAACTTACACCTACTAGTTTGTCCCCTTGTTCTAAGTTTTGCTATGTTTGGCGGCTTTCTCTAATTATAATTTTACACTATCTTGTAACAAGTGTCAACAAACTGTAAAATATATCACCTGCCACATCTCAAATGCTCTTTTCAATAGAGAATTATTCCCATTTATCCTCGGGAGGGAGCTCAGATATTCCAGATACCCAGCTCCTACACAAAATGCTCTATGTTGCAATTTGCAATGCATGTCCATTGTGGCCCTCTCTCCTGAAACTCACTGTTCAGGATTATTACCTCTAATCCCAGTAAACAATCAAAGGGTTTCTTCCCTTCTTCCCACCTCAACTTCTACCCCCTTTCACAACCAAGGGATCTGAATTATGGCCTCTCTTTGCTGATAATGGCATAGCGAACTGGGCATTATCTTGCTCCACTTCCACTTAGGCCCAAATTCCATTGGCTCCAGCCAATTCAGTTGTGTGACCCATGTGCTTTTTCATAGTTTTGCAGACTTCTACTCCAGGTAAGTTAATGCGATCAATCTGTTAATGATGAATGACCTGAGAAATGAAGTTTAGTTACAAGTACTAGACAACAGCAAATATCAACCTCTTCCTGTTCACTTACCAGAAAGCACCTTTCTAAAGTAAGGGTCACTGAGCTTCACACGAGAAACCAAGGTCCAAGAGTAGAACTGTCTTCAAAATTGCACCCACTGGGTTATAAGCTTACAAACCCAAATTCAGACACAGTGAAGATGCTTGGAGTTAATAGGAAGGGAACATGGATGGCATTCTAAGACATCAAAAATACTTCCCTTAAATACAGGTATAGGAAGTGGGTCTGCTGCCCTGCATTCTGTTTTCATGAGGACCTTCCAAGTTGTGGCCTTTTTCTACTAACAACTATTCTTTTTATGGATATATTCTAGAATCTGAGTTCAAGTATTACCTAAGAAAGATCCTTGATGGACTCACTTCCTTAACAGAATCTACTGAAAAGAAGAAACCTAAGAGAAAAAGCAAAGATTAATCAGCCTGAAATGTGTACTCCTACAGGAAGAGGGGTCATGCCCTCAGGCCTCAGCTGCACTATTTCCAAATACTCCTTTGTGTCCGGATCATTGCTTCCCTAGTCACCTGTTGAACTTCTGATTAAAACAGTGGAGGCCATCATTGATAAAAGGAAGTAAGACTGTTTAAATGTATGAGAAAGGACTTGAGTTAGACAACATCAACAGAAATGGATTGGAATGGAAACTCAACTATCCTCCTGTTAAATCATTCATTTTAATCTGCCTAAATTGCAAACCAGCCTAGCCCTTCCTTTAGCATTTAAATGCATTAAAATCATTTTGGAAATGTGTCATTTAAAAATTTATCTTTTCTATTCTTTTGTACCACTTCAAATATTCCTTATTTGTCCTTTCCTGAGGGACACAAATGAGGGGATAAAGATCAGGATGTGAGGGAAAGGAACTTCCAGGACCAAGATTAAGAAAAAGAAAAGAGATTCTCATATTTGGACCTTGTTGGTGGGTACATTTGGAGCACTGATCATACCTCATTAGTAAAACAAAGAGAAGAGAAAGAAAAACAGGCCACCAAAGAGAGAGAGGAAGGAGAGAGGACCCCATGTCAAATCCTGTCCTTATGAGTTGAATGGTGTCTAGGCCTTGTTGCCACTAGACTTGGCTTCAAATGCCCTTCCTTCCACTTACTAGTAATGTGGGATAATAAAATGGTCCGTCTTTAGGGCTGTGGCTTGATCAAATAAGATGATGCTTAAGAAGTGTGCAGCAGAGTGGCCATTACTTTTATGGGTCAATTGTGCATCCTCTTCCTCGCTACCCCTTCCTTATCCCTTCTTTAACTTCTTCCTTATCTCTGACTAAGGTCTCCTTCATTTTTCTGAATTCCTTTATCTACTATTATAAACTTTTGTTCTTCCATATTAATATTCATCATATGCAAAATACTTTCATATATGACTTCATCTAACCCTCAAGCCAATCCTCAATGAAGTTCCATCATTCCCAGTTCTCAGAAAAAGAAACTGAGATGCTGTGCTAAAATGAGTTCCTTTATGTGACTTTTTGCTTTTTTTTTTTTTTGAAAGACACCTTGAGAGATTTTTCTACTAGACGCAGAAGAGTTAGTTACCTTTGCCCTAGTTTTCTACCCTAGAAGTTTTGTTACTTTTGTCCAGTGAGTGACATTTTCTGGAGAAGCTGTAAACAACTTGGTTTGATACTTTTTGTCTGGTCCTGGGTTGCAGCCTGCCCTGTGATTGGTATGCACCTTGCAGGGAATGGCAGTTAGACTATACAGATGAAGTATCTATGGCTTATCCAGAGGAGACTGGTCAGTTCATGGCCCTGGTGGGAGGGCCATACCTTGAAATTGATAAGAAATTTGTGTATATAAGCAGCCATCCCCACAGAGGTTTTTCAGAAAGAAAGAAGCAGAAAGAGAAGGAGCAGGAAGAGGCAGAGGCAGAGAGAAGAGAGAGGAAGCAGAAGGAGAGAGAGAGGAGGTAAGCAATTTCTTAAAGGAGCTGTAACATGGGTCTAGGGCTATCACACTGCAGATAGAGGCCAGAAGGGGCAGCGGCAGAGCTAGCAGCGACAGGCCCAGAAGAGACCCTGCAGCAGAGTTGACGATGACAGACAGTAGGGCCTGTAGAAGCCTGTTCTGAGGGAAGCAAGAGGAACCTGTCCTTGGTGGGCTGAGAGGAGGCCTGCTCAGCTGAAAGGAGCTGAGAGAGCTGTCCTGCAGTGAAGAAAAGGGACTTTGTTTACGTGCTTCCTGATTCTCATCCTGATCCTGAGTTGTAGCCTATTGATCCCAATCCTAAATTATACCCTGTTACTTCCTTAAACCCCTTAACTATATGTATGGTCTGATTTGTGTGGCCATTGCAATGATTATTGAACCAGAAGAGAAGTAAAGAGTGCCAAGGGAGGGACAGCTGGTGTCAGAATTGGTCCAGAGTTGGAAAGCAGAGGTATGTCTGACTCCCACCTCATGGGAATCACCTTTGGCCTGATCCTGGTCATTATTCTCCCCTGAAGTTAGACAAGTTCTGTTGATGCTATTACTACCACCCAAAGCTGATGGTCATTCCTCCGGATGTTACAGGACTTCAGATACTAACACTGTACAGATGCAGAGAGGTCAGGTGATTTGTCAAAGATCTCCCAGGCAATAGGTGGTAAAGCTATTCGAAAATAAGTCTTTTGTATACAAATTCCCAGTTCTTTCAACTACAGAAATCTTTCCTTTCACTTATTCAGCAAGTGTTTATTGACTTCGTGTTAGTGCAGATGCTAAATACTGGGGGTACAGAGATGAGTGAGGGGTGGTTTGTATCTCATGGAGTTCATGTTCATGAGTAGAACAGATATTTAAACAAGTAATCGCCATGTAATAGAGATAATTCCTGTGTTCAAAATCTCCACGAAAGAGTTGGTACTTGGCCTGGGTGTTGAAGGCTGGGAAGGAGTTTGCTTTGTGAGTATAGTGAGGGTGGTGTGGGAACATTGTAGGCAGAGAGAATAGCATGTACTGATGTGAAAACACATGAGGAGTGAAAGTCATTTGGTATGGTCAGAGCACCAGGGTCAAGGGAACTGGCAGAAAAAGTGGGGTACAACTATGGAGAGGTGAGGCCATCCTAGTGCCTTCTGTCTGGTTTTATCCTGTGGGCGATGGGCTGTTATTGCAGGGTTTTAGGAAGGGAAATGACATGATAAGATTTACTGTTTCAAGGAGAAATGTGTCTACAATGAGTTGGAAATGCAATGATGAACAATACAGCCAAAGACTTTACACCCCTGTGAGAAGAGAGATATAAACCAGTGACCAAAGAAGTAAACAAACAAGATGACATATGCCTATACCCTGTAACTCAACCCTGAGACTCTATTCCAAAGAGAGACTTACATATAGGTCATTCATTTCAGCCCTATTTGCGGCAAAATATATTG